ATGGCCTGTACTCCATGACCTGTCCCACTCATGACGTGTACTCCATGGCCTGTCCTTCATGGCCTGTCCCGCCGCATGGCCTGTCCCCTCTCATGGCCTGTCCCCTCTCATGGCCTGTCCCCCCTCATGGCCTGTACTCCATGACCTGTCCCTCATGGCCTGTACTCCATGACCTGTCCCACTCATGACGTGTACTCCATGGCCTGTCCTTCATGGCCTGTCCCCCCTCATGGCCTGTCCCCTCTCATGGCCTGTACTCCATGGCCTGTCCCCTCATGGCCTGTCCTTCATGACGTGTACTCCATGACCTGTCCCTCTTGACCTGTCCCCGTGCTCTTCTGCTCCCTCTCCACGCTTCCCAAACTCATCCCAGCTCCAGGATTCTGTGCCAGGAGCTGAGGTTGGTACCCAGGGATGATCCAGCCTGGGACCTGCTGCAGCTCCTGGAAATTCCCCTGCCACGGGAACAAGATGTTCCCCATGGGAATTTTGTGCTTTGCCAGCAGGCAAAGCTAAGGGAAAGCTACCACTCAGCCACCTCTTACTATTATTATTCTCATTTTTAAAATAATATTTATATATACTTATTACTTATAAATATACTTATTACTTATAAATATATATTTTATCTTTATATTGAGTTGTATATTATTATATATTGTATATTACAGGCATTGTGTGTTTATGTATTATACATTATATATTATATAGTATATTATTAGATATTTGTATTATATAGTATTATTATCTATTCAATCGGGGGTTTTTTTGGTTTTTTTTTTTGCTCAGCCTTTTTGGGTAACTTCTAAAACCTCACCATTGGTACAAAACCCTCTGGGTCACCCTCTGTCCTTCTCAGACATGAATTTGACAGACAACAATTCAGCATCCCACCTGTACCTCCACCTCCTGCAATGTCACCCACCAGACACAGGAATAAGGGAGGAAAAGGGGGAAAAGAGGGAAAGGAAAAGAGGAGGGAGGGATAAACAAGTTTTCCCAACTGGAGGGAGCAGAGAGGCCTGAAAATCCCAACCCTACCCATGGCCAGCACAGCCCTAAATCTCCCTGCAGACTGAGCCTGAAAAAACAAATTAATCATCCTGCAATGTCCTGAGCAAAATGCCCATAAAATTTCATTAATGCTCATGACAGATCATAAAAATGATCAGTAGGGCTGGCAACTCCAAAATAAGGTGGAAATAAGTATGAAGATGTTTTTACTGTAAGCCTGCTTTGTCATTCAGTTCTCTGCAAGCTCATAAATAAAAAAAAGATGGAATTACACTACCCTGAGAGATGGGGAGGAGAGAGATCCCCGAGTTTGGGACTTGTCAGGGACACACCAACAGATGTTTTGCTCAGCCAGTAACAGGAATGTGTGGCTGGCACAGCTGATGGGGGTGAGGGCTCTTGAAACATCCCAAATTCCCCTCCTTTGCTCTGCTCAGCAAGCCTGAGCTGAGGAAATATTAAAATCCTCGGCTGAGCAGCTTTAATTGGTGCTGGGGCAGGAGGGGACACCCCGAGCTGAGGGAAGGGAGGATCCCCAGGCGTCCCTCACATCACCCAGGCGTTCAGGACACCCCAGACCATCTGGGTCCCACAGGAGGGAGGACAGGGAATCTCCAGTTCCAGGACCATGCCCTCAGGTCCAACTGCAGGTCCTTTCTCTGGGGACTGGACCTTCCAGGTGTGTCTCTTCCTTTGAGGATTATGTCAACTAGAAGATACCAGGAATTCTTCCCAAGGCTGCAGCCAAGCCTGTCTGGGTCTCAGCAATGCACAGAGGCCTTCAGATGCTCAGTTTATCCCAAATCCATCAGCATACCCTGCAAAAGATCCACTGCCCCCCTCCCGTGACAGATCCACCAGAGATGGCAGCACACTGGGGATAAACATGGCCAGGAGTACTCTTAATAAACTTCCCCCTTTTCTAAGAGCTCTTCTCACCTTTTATTTGAAATGCAATTTTAGCTTTAAATGCAAGTTAAAACTGGTGTATCAGCTCCCCATTCCCCTTCAGCACTTGAATCTCTGCTAGTCCATAAATGGTCTCGTTTCCCTACCCCATCCCTGTAGCCAGATAAATCTTCCTGGGAATGAAAGCAAGAGCAGAAAGTGCTGCTAATGAAATGATGATGACATAATTAATTCAGATTAAGTCATACTTTTCATCACTCCAAATTTTCTCCTTGTTTGGCCTTGTCCCTACAGGGAAGGGAGAAGCCACTCAGGTACCTCTGCTGTGCCCGATTCCTAAAATCCAGGGTGAGGATTGAAGTATTTTCCTGAGCAGCCCATTGCCCAAACCCACAGCAAAAATTATCTGGATGGGCTGAGCTCTGTCTGATATTGAATAAATGTCCTTTTCCTGTCAGTGCAAGCCATGGCTGACACATCTGCGGTGTCTCACTGGGCACTTTTAGTCTTCCAGAGAGTCTAGAACCAGCTTTAAATCGTCCCCCAGAGTCCCCAGCAGTCCTGGGAACAGCTCTGCAGGCCCCACACAGCTGGCATCTCCCCAGTCTCCTCTTCCCTGACTTTCCAGGGGCAAAACCCAACCTGTTCAGCTCAGCAGCAGCTTTTCCACCTGGAGAGCAAGCAGGGACTGCCAGGGGGGAGGGCAGGTCCCCAGTGGGGACACTGCCCCCTGTGCCACTGCCTGCTGTCCCTGCTGGAGCTCCAGGGCTCTCACCTGGCAAAGCCCAGCTCTGGCAGCACCTGCTGCAGGCTCAGGCTGCTCAGGGCTCACGTTCAGCCTCCAGCTGCTGAAACCTCCCTCTGACCTTTCAGTCCCCAGTTCAGGCCTCGGAGATTAGAAGGGAAAAGCTTACTAGGAGAAAAAAAAAATAAACCCAGCCACCCCCAAAGGCATCCTTTATCAGTGTGGAAGGGCAGGGCAGAGCAGCAGGGCTGTGGCACACGGTAACGTCACCTGTGTCACTCAGCAGAGCTCTGCTGAGTCAGGAGCAGCCTTGACACCTCCACCAACAGCTGCTTTTCAATCCTCCTCTGCTCCCCTTTCCCCTCCTTGGCTGTCTTTCCAAAGGAAGGAGCTAAATCACTGAATTTCCCATTTTGTTTGCTCCTGCCATCTCATTTCCCAGGTATTTTTCATCTCCTGCCTCCCCTCAGCCTGACTGATGTCCTTTTTGCTCTCGCCTGCCCTGATCTGATCCCGTAACACAGCTGCACCTGGCCCAGCCTGCACATCCACCAGAGCAGCTCACTGCAAACAAAGCTCAGCTGAGCCTTCCTGCCAGCCCAGGCTGGAACTGAGATCTGTTTTACAGGGCTGTGTGGCACCTTGGGCCACTCAAATAGGGAAAACCTTACATAAGCCCCAAATCCTCCTCCTGCCACACAGCATAGCCGGGTTTTTTTCCCTCTAAATGGGCTGGATAGGCAGCTTTTGACAGCTGGACTCATCAGGAAAAGCAAAACTTCTGTTCCCAAGGGGAATTACTGAGGTTTCTTCCAGGACAGAGCTAAACTGAAGGGAACAGTCAAATTGAGGAAGACCAGGAAATGTATTTGACTATAAAAATCAGACCATTATTTTAATTCCATGCATTGCAATTTCACAATTATTTTTTTTTTTTAAAGACAGAGATTCTAATTTCCAAAGGTGTTGGCACCCTCAGCTGCCATTGTGCAGAATCATTGCTCACAGGGCCATTAATTAAGGCACTGTCAGCACTTCCATCCCAAACCTCTGCCTTTTAGGAGTTTATAACTCAGCCATAAAACTCTGCTCTGGGCTGAAATTTAGCATGAAAGGCTCTGCCTGGAAAAAATCCATCCTTTTGTATTTGAGAGTCCCAAAAGCTTGGAGCAGCAAACCAGGGGTTTCATTCTAAGGGCTGCCTTTCAAAAACCTGTTTTTATGGGTGCTGGCTGGGCTGGGCCTGCTGCACTGGCTCATTGTGCTCACTGTGGGATGGGGTTTGTGCTCTTAACGCTGGAAAAATTAGGAATTATTGGGGTTTGTGGTTCAGAGCCACAGTCTGTGCTTAGTTAAACACTAGAGAATTCCTCTGCCCTCACTGTTCCCTATAGGAGGATGAGTCCACATGGATTTCTCACCTTCATTCCCATGAAGTTTAATTCCCTTTAATTCCAGCAGTCAGTTAAAGACATGGGAAATGTCCTCTGCTCCACCAGTGGTGTTATTTCCCCTTTTTTCCACCTCTAACTGACCAGGTTCACACAAAACATCAAGAACTCTGTTTAGCACAGCTCCAGTTTCTCACTGGGCTGCTCTTTGCCAGCAGATCCTGACTGCCCCAGCAGCCCCAGAGCCTCGCTCTGCCCCTCCTGCCCTCAGCTGCCTCCTCCTGCTCTGTTTTCTCCTCCCTGAGAAGTTTCCCAGCTGCCCAGATTTACTGTCCTCACTCTAAAAACCGAGCAATTTTCTACAACTCAAGGGCTGCATCCTCACCTGTCAATCCAGAATAAAAGAGACCTTTCAAAATCCCAGCTTTTAGTGCAAATTTCTGGATTTTTTAAGGATTAGAAGAGTTTGTGATTGCTTGCAGCACATGAAGATAATGCACCACGCCCAAGATATCAACTGACCCAGAGGTCACAGAGGAATATTCATCTTTGCAACTGGAGATCTTCAATTTATGAATTTCCACCTTCTTGGGACCAGAGTAAACGGATCAAAATTGGGCTTTCTTTACAAGTCTCATCGATTCTCTCTTCCAATGTGAAGGGACTCGTTATCCCCACAGCTTCCCAAAATACAAGAAGAGGGCATGTGGGGAGAGTGAGGAACACAGGGAATTGACAGAATTGACAGAAATGTTAATTTACATCCAGAAACAAAGCAGAAACTCTCAGCCTACCACAGAGAGGTGCCCCAAACCAGTACCTGCAAGAGGTCTCTCGGAAGGAGATGTTCAGATCCCAGTGGGTGTGGATCCTGTAACAAACAGAGGAGAGGTCAGAGGCACGGGCTGAGCGCTCTACTCCTGCCCCTCAAACCCTGCTCCCTGCTGGGGACCCCCACAGCCCCTTCAGCCCCAATTCCTGCCCAGTCCAGCCCCAATTCCTGCCCAGTCCAGCCCCAATTCCTGCCCAGTCCAGCCCCAATTCCTGCCCAGTCCAGCCCCAATTCAGAGCTCACAGCAGGACCCAGGAGCTGCTCAGCACTGGGAAATTCTCTCCTGGCTCCATCCTGACCCTCTCCTGCCCCATCCTCACCCTCTCCTGGCTCCATCCTCACCCTCTCCTGGCTCCATCCTCACCCTCTCCTGGCTCCATCCTCACCCTCTCCTGGCTCCATCCTCACCCTCTCCCTCACCCTCTCCTGGCTCCATCCTCACCCTCTCCTGGCTCCATCCTCACCCTCCCCTGCCCCATCCTGGCCCCCTCTCTGTTCACCCTCTCCCTGGGAGCTGCAGGGCTCTGTCTCAGCTCCCAGGCCCCTGTCCCAAGGGGGCAGAGCTCAGTGCTGACATTTTGGGCAGAAGCCCCAGCCGTGCCTGTGCCGTGCTCCCTCCCCAGCTGGAAATGAATCCTCAGCGATTTCCTCGCTCAGAAATGAGCCCAGCACGCTCTGTCACTGCCTGAGACATACAGGAGCAGCAGCTTTGGGATGAACAATGTCCTGAACTAAAGCAGAGCAGCCAGGGAGGATTTTTGATGGGATTTTTTTGATTGGATAGGCAGAGCTGGATCCTCCCTGCTCCTCCCAGTTATCCCAGTCTCAGCTTCCACAGTCTCCCAGTATCCATGCCAGGCTGTTTCCCAGCACCCAGAATGCTGAGCAGGGAGTGAACAGAGATTCAGGGAATCTCATCCATGGATCCTGGAAGAACAGCCTGACAGCTGCAGCAGGACCTGGGGCATCTGGGCTGTTCTCCAGCACAGAATTGCTGCTGCCAGGGTCAGCCCCGAGGAGACCAGGAGAGCTGTCAGACACAGGGAGATGGGCAGAGCTGCCAAGAGCACTTGTAGGGCAAGACCTTTTTCCTTTCCTTTCTCCTTTCCCTCTGCTCTCACATCTTCCTAGGCAAGCAGGGATGTTGTGCTGGTTGGGATATTTTACCCTGCAGCATCCCTGGGAAGCCAGTGGCTGTTCTCCCCCTCTCTTTCCCCCACGTCCACATCCTCACACAGTCAGAGAGACCTTCCCAGCACTCTGAGCAGGTGTTTGAGCTTCACTCCTCCTCAGCCACACCACCCCACTGCTGGGGACTCGGCCAAAGCCGTTCCTGACCCACCCTGTTCAATCCCCAATGCTGTCACTGCATTTCTCCTCCCACACCAGTCAAAGAGGCCACTCTTTAAAATAGGAATTAAATGCATCAACCCACAGGACAATGCTGGGCTTGAATCCAGCAGCGAGTGAGGATTTTGCTGTTAAAGCTGAGCCTTCCTCCCTGGCTCCCCTGGCTTTCATCTGCCTGGAGATTCCTGGGATGACATCCTGGAGATCCTGACAGGCAGTTTGCACCTCGGGGTGGAAACGCTCCCAGGCTGAGCTCATGCATTTCTCAGGGCTGGGTGGAATCTCCCTGCGAGGGCAGGGAAGTTAAAGCTTCCCAAGCTACTGCAGAGCAATGGAATTTGTGGAGTCTAATTCAGAATTACAGAATCAGAAAGGTTGGAAAAGCCCTCTAAATTCATCCAGTCCAACTTTGAACCCAGCCCTGCCACGTTCACCACTAAACCACATCCCCAGGTGCCACATCCACACCTTCCCTGAGCACTTCCAGGGATGGTGATTCCACCACTTCCCTCCTTTGGTGTCTGGGATAACCCAGAGGGCAGCAACAGAAGCCAAGGCTGTTAAAGGCTGAGGTGAGGGACCAGCCAAGAAACTTCCACCTCCTGCTGTAATCCCCAGAATCTTTCCTTCACCAGTACCCAGCCCTTGCCACATCAGGGAATAGGGAAAAGAGGAAAAGGCAAAGAACGCTTTGAAAAGCAGCAGTGCAGGTGTTCACAGTGCCAGGGGGCACATCCAGGGCTGCAAGAGGAGAACCCAGGTTTGCTGAGGCCTGGCCTTGTTTCCCCATCCCAGTTTAACCTATTTGTCCTCTCAGTGGGGGACAGTAAAGCCCCAGCCCTGGGGGGAGGACACAGCAGGTGAATTAAGGCAGTAGCAGATGGGGCACAGTCCCTGCAGGGCCCAGCTGTCCTGTCTGGGCTGTGGTGCCTTTGTGCTGCTGCTGCTGTCCCCAGAGCCATCCTGGGTCCCCAGAGCCACCCTGGACACCCCCAGGCCAGCAGGAGAGGGACAGGCTGCTCCCCACTCGAGGCCCTGGAACAGCTGGAAGTGTCCTGTCTGGGGATAAAACGCTTGGGAATGCTGCAGGTGGGAGCAGTGGATGTTCCCTGCCTGAGCACTGAATTCCTGGTTTTTCCCTTGTTCCTGCACTCACAGGAGTTCTGCCTGCTCCCCTCGCCCCACTGTCCCAGCTTTTCCCCCCACTCTGCATCCCAGCTCCCAGGAAAAGGAAAAGAACAGCTGCACAGAGGCTGAGAATTTAACCCAGCTGGGAGAATCCTGCTCTCCTCCAAGGAAATAAAGCTTAACCTCCAGACAAACTGATGAGAACTGCTGGAGAGCACAGCCGTGGCGAGCTGGGGGATCGCTGCCTGAGAGCTGCCAAACATTTTTCCTTCATTTCCTAATAAACAAGGCAAAGCAATTACAGTAATTAAAGATTTAAGATAAGAGCACTTTGTATTTGGGGGGCTTGGCATTATCAATTACGGAGTTATCGTGTTGTTCTCCCTCCTAATGAGACAATCTAGCACCGCAATTCTGCAGCATTAAAAGCCTAATTAAAGGGGGCAGGAGGAGCAGGGCAGTTCACCAAAACTGATTGGGAGTATTCCCTGTGCTTTGGTGGCTCCTGGGCAGCCCAGGTGCATTCCCAAAACACCTTTCCATTTCCAGGCTCCTGGACAGCTGCAATGATAAACCCAGACTTTAATTACAGGAGGGTTTTATGGGAAGAGCTGGTTGCTCTTTTGTCTCCCTGCTCCCAGCCCTCAGCTGCTGAGGGTACCAGCATCTGTCGGAGGGAAGGGGGAAACAGCTCCTCTACTGCCAGGCAAGGAACACATAAAACATTAGAAAAGCAATTACAGCCCTTCAGTTCCCTCTGCTCTGGTTTTATAGGGCTTGTCTCAGGATCTGAGCCCTGCTGTGCATCACGGGGGGATGACAGCCGAGATGAGCCGCAATGATCTGCTCGGGAGGCTCAGGCACGGCGCCTTTAGGGGTTTGTTTTCCTGGGGTTACAGATTTTCTGCAATTCCTGGTTTTTCAGGGGGGTGAGAGAACCTGGAATTTTGCAGCTGAATTTTGAGGGCACTGAGGCCTCCCAGGAGAGGCCAGGTGAGAGTTACCAGGACCTGACTCAGGACAATCCTTTCTTCTCTTCCTCTAGGACTGCACAATTCCAGGATGAATGTTCATGAGAAAAACAGGATCAAAATCAAGCAGTTCCTCCTCCCTGCTGCAACTCCATCTATTCTCCCTCGTTCCTAGAGGCTCTCAGGATGCTCTGACACTTAGAATCAAAACCCCACACCCTGCTGCTATCCCTTCCCAAACTCTGCTCCCCAACACTGAATTCCCCAGTTTCAGTGACATCCCAGTTTGAGCACAACTGAAAGCAGAAGGCAGGATTTGGGCTCCCACACCTCTGTATTCCAGACAGCTGAAGCCCACAGATGATTTCTTGGTCACAGAGCCACAGAGCCCTGGACAGAGAATGAGACCCAAGTGATCACCTGCAAATCCAGAGCCTTCAGTGCAAATTGCAACCAGGAGTGGAAAATCCCCCCTGGCTGCCCTGTGGGAGCTGAAATGTGACATCTGCAGTGAGACTGCAGCCCCTGGCCCCACGGGGCAGTGCTGGCTCTCCCAGTGCAGCACTGACTGCAAGTACCTTCTTTTCATGATACTGATGTGCAGATCCTCCTCCTGCTTCACTTCGGGGGGCTGCCCATTGCTCTTGTCGCTCTCCTCGCTGTCCTCGCTGTGAGAGAAGATGGAGCTCAGCTCTTTCTTGGGGACCCTGGTGGGGGGCAGGGGGATCGTCCTCTTCTCTGCCAGGCGGCCCCGGTTCTGGGATGGGTTTGGAATGGGGAGAGGGAAAGAGAACAAAACAAGGATTTGGTGAATAATCTCAGAATTTCCTCAAACATCAAACAAAAACTTGTTTACTTCTGTCAAAAAGCTCTTCTTGACAAGCCAAAGCTGCCAGTCCCTGCATGGCTCACACTTTGTCCTGGTCACTTTGCAAAGGATTTTCCAGCACAGGCATCCCTGTTCCTAATTTTTCCAGTTCCGACCAAGCCTTGCAGCCTCTCCCAGCCCTTCATCTCATCCACACTGTGAGGAAAGGAAGGTGGCAGCAGAATCAGGCACCAATCTCTGTCTCCAGAATATTTCCCACCAAGTATTTCCACCTCACCGTTCAGTTAAACTGTGCCAGAAGCCCAGGAAAATGACGATCCAGGGCTGTAAAGGGACACCTGCCTGTGCCAGCCAGCAGCAGGGAAACACCCTGGAAAACCAGGGAGGTTGTGGTGCCACTGCTCCACAGAATCCGTAATTTTAGCCAACAAAATCATGGAATTGGGACAGGAACCCCAGCGAGGGAAAGCGAGGCCACAGCTCTGTGCCCGTTCTCCAGACAGAGAGAAAGGTGTGTGAAACAGGACCAGTAAATGCACAGGAACACCTAAATAGTAACAGCTTCTCTGAAAAAAACTGATTTCAACTTCCCAAATAAACCTGGCAAAAGGAAGAAGCCCTGGGAAAGCCAGGCAGGCTCTCTGCAGGGGAGGAACACATGTTTTTTTAATTAACCAAATTAAGAACTTTCCACAAATACCAAACAAAAACTTGTTTACCTCTGTCAATAAATTCCAGTTGTGCTCGTTAAGGGCAGCCCTAATCACTGTGATAACGAGCTAAACCCATCTGGAAGGCATCACCCCGAGGAGCCACAGGGGCTTTTCCCCTTGAGCTGCAGGTCCCAGCCAAGAGCAGTCTGAGAGCAGCAGGCACCCGGGGGAGAGGGGAACAGCGGGCCAAAAATGGCATAAAATTGGGAAAATGTGGGGGAAACCATGCACCTTATGAACTGTGCATCTCTTGCCCTCAAATACTTTTTGTGTTCAAGGTGCTTTCCCAGTCCTGCCCCTCTCTGTGCACACAGGGAACCTGCCCCAGGCGCAGCCTCTGCCCAAAGCCACATCAGGAACAGCAGCAAACTCAAGCAAAAGAGGAGAAGAACCAGGGCTTGTAAATCCCAGGATTTCAGCCCTAACAATGCCATTTTAAAAGTCCTGTTTGCTTTGTATTTTTACCCTCAGGTTTGGGGTGCATTTTGTTTCTTTACTTACTACGTCCCTCTGTACCCGGAAAATTAAAATAGACTGAGCCAATCAATTTTACCTTTTATATTCATCTAGAGCCAGTTTGGAATCAATTGCACTTCCCTAATCTGTTTAGAGGAATCCAGCAGCAGACACACATCACTTTCAAATTAAGCACAAAGGTAGCCAGAAGCCTGGCCCAGAACCTGCTCCATAATCAATTGTCGTGCCATTGACTTGGAAGGGCTCTGGTCCAAGCTGCAAACACAAAAACCTCTCCAAACACGCCCAGCACATCCCCAGGGAGGAGCTGAGGGAACAGCCAGGCAGGGCAGGTGTCCGTGCAGAATTACAGCCCAGGAACCCTCCAACAACCCCATCAAGGCCTGAGAGGAGCCAAAGGTGTTTCCCACCAGTGCTTCAGCTCGAGGAACCCCTGGGAGGCTGTATCCTCCTCTCCCAACACCGGGATACCCCCAGCCCCAGGATGGGGGGCAGAGCATCCCTTTTCCTCTCTTTCATGAACCCAAGCCAACATCACAATCCTCCAAAGCCTCTGCGAGGGCTGAGTGTGAAGGACACTGCAGAACAGCCTCATGCTCCAGGCTCCCCTCCCTTCCTACATGGTTAAAGATTCATTTTGTGGGTTCTGGTTGCAGCTAACAAAGCACAGCTGGGGTTGGAGTCAATAAGCCCCCATTCCCCCTCTGCCTCCCTACCCTCCCAGGGTCTTTTGACACCATTAATTGCTTTCATTGCCTCTCAAAAGTATTGTCAGGGTGGGGGTGGCTTTGCTTTTAAAAAAAAAAATCACAGCCAGGAATATTTCCTTTCCCCGGGAAAAATCAGATGGGCACCAGCACATGATTTAAAGTTACTCCAGTCCAGAGATGCAGCTGCAATTAAAGAAAACGAAAAAACAACCCAAGAACTTGGGAACAGCAGCAGGTTCTGGGAATGGAGGAGTCTGGAAGGCTGATCTCTCTATCCTGAGAGGAGAGGAGCACCAGTAAGATGGGAAACGCTGGGGGTATTTCTTCCCGTCTGGATGAACAGGGAAATTCTGCTCTGTGAGGCTGAGCAGGGTCAGCAGAGCTACAAAATCAAACCCTTCCCCTGCAGCCATCCAGACCCTCCTGGAGCTCAGTTCCCCCCCAGGCCAGAGCCCGCAAATCCAAAGGGCTGCAGGAGAGCCCTGCTGGGAGAGCTCCGGCTCGGGGCACACACCGGGAGGGAGAGCTGGGAAGGTTCCCTGGCTTGGGAGCTGCTGCAGCCAGACAGCCTGGGGTGATGGAGAGGGAGGGGAAGGGGAAGGGGAAGGGAAAGGGGAAGGGGAAGGGGAAGGGCCCTCGCCAGGACAGTCCCTGGTGAGCATTTAATCTATCCCAGCCCTAGAGAGCTCCGAGGCAAAAACAGCCCCACGGAACAACAGAAAAATAACAAAGCAGATGAAAGTAAAGGTTTTGGCAGTCCAGTGAAACCCTAGAGAGCTGATCCCAGTGGGAACTGACCCCAGCAGCGGAGCAGGTGCAGTCCCTGCCAAGCCAAGGCCACCAAAACAGACACACAAATTCAAGTGCCCCAAGAATCTGCTCCCACCTAAAAATATCAAAGCTGGTTGCAAGATGATTCATGTGCCTGTGATTCAACCCTCAAAAATAATTACTATTGGGTAAAAAACCTGCAGGAAAAAACCCCAGGCCATGCATTCCTTCTTCATAGGTAAAGCTGGGAAACACAGGGAGCAGACAGGGAATGCTGGGGGGAGGTCTGTGAGCTGCCAGTGCTGGGAGCAGGAGGATTCTAAATCTCTTCCATATGGGAAGGAAATCCTCAAGCCCAGACAGCATTTTCTCTCTCTTTTTATTGATAATAAAGATAGGGAAAAGGAAAGGGGGAGGTTCAGAGAGCCTGGGATATTTTTGTTTTGCTTTTCCAAATAATAAACCTGGCGGAATGGCTTTAATTAGGGACATTAGGCAGCAGTGGGGACCACACATCCCCCTGTAGAATAACTGGCAGAGTTTGCATTTACCTTCAGCTGTGATTAGTGTAAACACCTCGGAGAGGGTCAGGTTGCCTTCCAGGATAATCCTGCCCTGTCCCCTGGGCCCTCATTAGCCCTTCCAGCCCAACGTGCTCCCAGCCCCACTGCTCCAGTAGCAAATCCAGCTCTGGGCGCACCAGAATCTGCATCCAAGCAGAGGTCACAGGCAGGAGGAGGTGGCCAGGCTCTCATCCCACCTCCTGGCCCAGAGCTCAGCACTGGACACCTGAATAAAGCAGCTCCCGAGGCATCCCCTCCCCAGCCATGCCCAGCCCTGTCACCTGGCCACTGACATCACCTCCTCCCAGGGACACCAGTGCCACACTGGAACTGTTCCAGCACGGCAGGGATGGCCCAAAGCAAGAACAGCCAGCAATTAGTAAATAGTAACAGCTTCTCTGAAAACAAAAACCTGATTTCAGCTTTCCAAATAAGCCAAAGGCAAAAGGCAGAAGTCCTGGGAAAGCCGGGCAGGCTCCGCAGGGGAGGGACACTGACAGAGGAGCCCCATGGTCAGGCAGAAAAGGAAGGGGAGACAGACCAGGAAGCCTCTCCCAGGTTTTGGGGACTGTCACATCCCTCATCAGTGCCATGGAAGGGCTGTTCAGGCTCTGGCAGGGACAGGAGGAGGAAGAAAGGAAAGAAGCAGGGCACAGCCAGACAGGTCCCACAGCTGGAAGCAGGGGACAGCAGCCCTGGGGGACAGCTGTCCCCAGCAGGCTGCCCAGAGCCACCCCTCAGCAATGGCTTGGGCTGGCAGCAGCTGCTGCAGAGAGAGCTCTCAGCTCCAACACAGAGAGCCCAGCTCCTGTTGGGGTGTTTCATCTTCAAGTGCACCAGAGAAGAAAATCACTCTTGACCACAACTTCCCTGAGTAACCCGAGCAATGCCCTCGACTGCTCGTGCTCAGGCTCCTGCTACAAACACCAGCAGCAAGAGGTTCCCTCCTTGTCCCCGGCCCTCATCCTGTTCACAGGGTTTATCCCAGTTATGCTGGAAGCTCTCTGGGGCAGAGGGTGATGTGTGGAGCAGAGAAATCGGCTCCTGCTATAATTGAAGAAAATACGGAAGTTTTAACCCAAAAGAAAGGTGCCCAGAAGGGAAGCTGCAGCTCTCCCCATCAATATTCACAACATTTTGTGAAGCCCTAAAGAAACAGATGAACAAGATCTGGGAACAGAAGGGAACATTTCCCATTCAGAATCTCTCAGAGAGTTATAAAGCCCAAAGGATAATTTGTTAATAGAGAGAGCCACGCTTTTCTGGGAAAAGCCAATCGGAATTTCCAGACTTTGAAGGGAAGTAGGTCTAAGATAGAAAATCTATCAGGCCTTTGGAGCTACCCTTTTTCAAAACCTCTTTGGAAGAAGGCTGAAAAGTGTCCTGCTCTTTGTTTTCTGTGTCTGTTTCCACATCAAATGACTTTGTCCCTTTTAGCCTGAGGTGGCAAAGGAGGAAGCAGAGATGTGAAGCCAGCTCCTCAGGCAATGTAAGTCAGTTCTGATGGAGCAGAAGTCAACTTCCACCAGCTGAGAGTGGAACGCTGTTGCTATCTCCTAAACAAAGGCAAAACCTACAGACTTTTCCCTTTTTTCTTTCCTTGTCTGCTCTACCTCTCAGGTGAAGAGACAAGGAGCAAAGGGTGTGGATGCTCTCAGACATTTCCCCTTCTCTTCCCACACCTTGCTGCTGCA